TGTCTAGACAGATAGGTAGAAATAATTGCCAGAGGGCAAGAATAACCTTAACTTAGTTATCCATTTACATTTTTACATCCTCCTCCCACACCAGTCCTTTGTCTTGGTATTTCAACACTAGACAAGACTCAGAAATAAGTTGCTCCTCTGACCAATGTTTAAAATGTCCCAGCAATCATTATTCTTCAAGGTTTCAACTGTTTTATAGGACTAAGTCACAAAGGGCTAGGGTGGTTCTGAAAAACCCCCTATTAGGCTGCCTAGGTCATAATGGAGACTCATAAATGGCTTTTGGGTGATGATGCTGGGGAGGCATAGACCGTGACTGGTGTCTGCTATCCTGACTGCCAGGCAGGCCAGAGAAAATTAGGGGTGTGTTTTCACTTAACATTGTTCTTTGCTGACTCTTGTCTCTCTGGAAAATTGTCTGTGAGAAGGCAAAGTAAGGTGCCCTTTCTGTTAACTCAGTTTTCTGTAATTATAGTAGTTGGGAGATAACTTATATCATGTGGTGAGGTGTGGAGGTGATTTTTTTTCTACCCCCCAGGCTGCAGAGGAATTTGTTTTAGAGACTGGTTAATAGTGAACTCTGAGATAAAAGTGACTGTGCTCATTTTTTTTTTTCAGTTGCCATTTCTAGAGGTTTCTCCCCTGCGTCTGGCCTCTACTCATTAAAATCATTCCAAGTTTGTTTCTTTTTCCAAAAAAATTTTAGTCACAGAATAAGCATGTCCCTATATGTTACAATCTAGAAGGAAGTAAGGTGGGCGTAATTTCATTTTCTCCTGATGCAATTTGGGCTTCCCTTCCTCCCTCCCCTCCCCCCTCCCTTCCCCCCTTCCTTCCCTTCCTCTTACCCTCTCTCCTTCCCTTCCTCCCTCCCTCCTTCCTCCCCCCTCCCTTCCTCCCTTTCTCCCCTCCTTCCTCCCTCCCTCCCTCCTTCTTCTTCTGTGATATGATTTCACTACACAGCTGAGGCTAGTTTCAAACTCATTATCCTCTTGCCTCCATGCCCTGAGTTCTGGGAATGCAAGCACAAGCCACCATGCCTGGCTACATATGGCTATTTCTAACCAGCCCACGTCACTGATTTTTCTCATTTTCTGTACCCTGAAAAGTCTACCTATAGCTTTCACGTAGACATTTGTCAATACTATCCCTTAAATTGTTTAAAGGCCACTTAATTTTGTCTCAAATAAAGAAAGGCAGGAGTCAGGTCTTCCCTTTCTTTTCTGTCCCTTTGATCTGTTGCATATTGCTGAGCATCAAGACCCTGGCTGCCAGGCTAGGAGGGCTTCTTGGCTGGGGCAGCTGGTACCTATCAATAGACAGGCAGAGCAGATTTGCCTGCCCTGGCTGGCCAGGCAGGAAATGTCCAGTGAATAAATGAATCCTTGTTTTTCATGTTCTCCTGTGAATGACAGTATTTCTTGTGTTATAATTCCTCAAAAATATTAAGACAGTAGATGTGGTTTATGGGGTAAGATCTACAGTACAGATGAACATTTACTGACTAGGCATTGGAAAACCACATTTGTTTTCACAATGGGTCATGATCTAACTCAGTATTGACTCTAAAGCAATCACCTGATACAGATTTAGAAAGCTGAACCTCCAATTGGACCCTTTTCTATGGCTCTTCCAATGTTTATGTGAATCAATGATAATACTGACTTTAAAGTTAATTAGAAATGCTTTACCTCTTTTAAAAACAAACATTATTCAAGTAAAGCTAAAATATAAGAAAATGCATCTATTTCAAACATATGCTTTGCTAAGATTTGACAAATTTATGCACTCACATAATTACCATAACAATAAAGATTTAGATACTGTGCTGTTCAATATGGAGGCCACTAATAAGCATAAGTAGCTGTTTAAATTCAAATAAACAGTCCCTCGGCTGCACTCCTCATATTTCAAATGCTCAATGACCTATATGACTAGTGCCTGCCATATTAAACAGTGCAAATGATAAGATAGTTCTATCATTGGAAAGGTTCTGCAGTGTTACACTGCACCAATATTAAACATATGCACAACATCCTTTGTGCTCTTCTCAGTGATTCCCAAACCCAACCCTGGGGTTCAGATTGCAAATCTGAGTTCTGTCACTGTAAATTAGATTTGTGCCTTCTAGAGCTTTGTATATATGTATGCTCTCTCTTTCTCTCTCTCTTTTTTTTTTTTGGTCATACTGGCATTTGTACTCAGGGCCTCAAGTTTGCTTGGTAGGTGCTCTACCACTCGAGCTACATGCTCCCAACCCTGTATGTACCCAGTTGCCTACTTCTGCTCAGCATAGTGGCTAAGATTGATCCACACATGCTGTTATATGTATATTACTCCTTTTTTATTGCTGAATAGCATTCCCCTTTATGGTATGGATATACCATAATTTATCTACTCACCTGTTGAAGACTTTTGGACTGTTTCCACTTTGGAATGATTATGAATAAAGCAGTTATTTTTTCATGTAGACATGTTTTTATTTTTCTTGGGTAAATATCTGTGATTGGAATTGTTATGTTTATATGGAAAGTGTATGTTCAACTTTATATGGAGTATACACTATTTTCTGAAGTGGTTGTGTCATTTTGTATTCCTACCAGCAATGTAGGAGAGTTCTAGTCTCATCAGTTATTACTGAAATTTTTGTATACTTGTTCTATTAATTTCTAAAAGAGGTGTGTCAAAATCTCCACTGATCATTCAGATCTTCCATTTTTCTTTTTAGTTAAATCTGTTTTGCTTCATATATTTTGAGACTTTGTGACTGGGTGCATTTACACTTAAGAATGCTTTATCTTCTTCATGTATTGACCGTTTTATCATGGAAGTCACCCCTTTGCCTGGCTCTGAATTCTATTTTGTTAATAATAAAGCCGCTCCAGATTTTTAAAAATTAGAATGTGCATTGTACATCCCTTTGCAACACTTATCTGTGTGTTTTCATTTAAACTGGATGTCTTTAAATAGCATATGGTTTTTAAAAGCAAGATGGGCCTGAAACTTTTTTTGGTTAGTTTTGCAGTACTGGGGTTTGAACTCAGGCCCTCACAAATTTGCTAGGCAGGTGTTCTTACTCTTGAGCCACACCTCTAGCTCTTTTTGCTCTGGTTAGTTTGGAGGTAGGGCCTCCTTTTTTGCCCTGGCCAGCCTAGACTATTTTCCTTCTATTATGCTTCCTGAAGTAGCTGGGATGAGAGTCATGCCTCCATGCCCAGTTTTTTCTCTTGAGTTAGGGTCATGTGAACTTTTTGCCCAGGCTGCCCTTGAACTGTGATCCTCCTGATCACCTCCCGAGTAGCTAGGATTACAGGTGTTAGACAACAATGCATGGCTGAATCTCTAACTTTTAATGTAAGGGTCTAGACCATTTACTTTAAAAGCAGATAGTTGATGTGGACTAAAGTACACATATTTAGAGTATACAATTTGATGAGTTTGAACATGCATTCATCTGTGAAATCATTACCACCATCGAGAAAGTGGTCATTCCCATCACTCCTTCCCTGGGCTCCTTAGGAATCCATTTCTCCCACTTCTCTCCTCTCCAGGCATCTACTGGTGTGCTTTATGACTCTAGAGATCAGTTTTCACTTTTTTTTTGAAATGGGTTCTTTGTGTAGCCTAGGCTGGTCTTGAACTGATGCTCCTCCGGCATCTTCCTCTGAAGTTGAGAATACAGGCATTCACCAGCACACCCAGCCTGGTGTTTGCATTTTCTAAAATTTTGTATAAATGGAAACATATCATCTTATTGCTTTTTTTGACTGGCTTTTCTTATCATAAAGATTTTGAAATTCATTCATGATGTTTTTTATTTCATTTTATTTCTGGGTAATATTTTTATTGTGTGGATATATTAGCAATGGTTTTATCCCTTCATAAAGATGGACACTTTGTTTGTTTCTAGCTTTTGATGTTACAAATGGAGCTATAATAATTTTGTGTGTGTGTGTGCTGGAGATCAAGCCCAGGGTCTAGGGTATTGTAGGCAAGCACTGTAATTGGGTCACATCTCTAGTCCACAAATATTATTATGTGTGTCTCTATATAAATGCATGCTTTTGTGTCTCTTGGGCAAATACCCAGGAGAGGAATTGCTAAGTTATGTGGCAAGCATAGTTTTAACTTTTTAAGAGATTTCCAATCTGTTTTCCAAAGTGTTTGTATCATTTTACATTCTCACCAGCAGTGTATGAGAGTTATATTCTCTTCCCTTTCTTATTAACATTTGGCATGGCTTGTCTTTTTAGAGAGTTTCTTTGGTGTGGTTTTAATTTCATTTATATGAAATTATGCATTTTTATGTCTTCTTTTGGTTTTGGTGGGACTAGAGTTTGAACTCAGGGCTTCATGCTTGCAAAGCAGGAGCTCTGCCACTTGAGCCATGCCTCCAGTCTGTTTTGCTCTGGTTATTTTGGAGATGGTGGTCTCATGAACTATTTTCCTAGGCTAGCCTTGAACCTTGATCCTATCAATTCAGCCTCCTAAGTAGCTAGGATTACAGGCATGAACCACTGGTCTTAGCCATTTACATTGGCTATTTATATGACTCTTTTGTGACATTTCTTCTCAAAATTTTTGCCTATTTAAAAATTTATTTCTTTATCTTATTCTCAAGTAAATCCTTGGCTGATAAAAATCCACATTACAAAAACAGAGATCATGCTACCCACCACAAACTATGTAAGCTTTCTGGTGAAGAGAAGGCTTGTCCCATATATTTGAATTTGATAATGTCTATGGGTTTCATAATTTTCATGCAAAAGCACAATGAAATCACACACACACACACACATGCACACACACACACACACATACACACACACACACACACACACACACACACACACACAGTATTCCAGATTTATAGCACTGATAGAATGACCATAATTAACTTTCTATTTTAGGAGTGACAAAAGCAGCCAATAAATCTGTGACAAAGACAAATATAGAAAAGAAAACGCAGTGGCTATGAAAACAAGGATCTAAAAATTTAATGATTTAAAAACAACCATTACATACAAGATGACAGAGAATGATAGAGATTGAACATTTGGTTTTGAAAATGTGAAATGTCACCACTTAGCTTAGTAAAATCCATCATCTCCTAAGAAAAATGCATCATACAATGAAATTTACAAGGACACACTTTTTTACTTCTTCAAGTGTTGTTCAGCAACCCTCTTCCTCCACACACACTTACTTGTCATAGAACAATACAACTGTAATAATCTTTTGCAGTGCAGAACATTGAGAATTACAATAGCAGTTGTTTTGAAAGCACCTTCTATGATAATTTGCAAGCTTCGTTTGGTTGAGGCATATATTGCAGATAAAAATATGTTTTCAAGTAGGCCGAAAGGAAACCATTTCCATGGACTAAAAGACTACTGAAAACATGCTCCTTGACTTGGCTATACAGGGATGCATCTACCTACCGGGTATGAAGTACTTCACCTGCCCATGATAAATGTGATAGTTAGCGCCTGTGCTCTGTCCACATAACAGGTGTGAGGACACAGACTGTGGCCAGATGCTGTGGCTAGCTATAAGATAGAGGTAGGGCTTATCTATAAGGTTGTTGACCACACAGTTGTAAAGACTGGATGGACTTTGCTGCTGCTTTGAGTGTCAGAGCTGCACTAAGCAGTGAAGAGAGCAGGTTATGGCCTGGTGGCTTTAATGTTCTATGACAGAGGAACTGGCCAGTTTCCCTCAGGTAATGGGAGTAGAAGTACCTAAGAGAACGGAAAGACTCAGAAAAGCCTCTACTTAAAACTGGCAGAAGGAACAGTCCCTCCTTTTTGTGGATAATCATAGTCTGATGTGTCTTTATGAATTCCTGCTGCAAACAATATGTTTTTTTTAAAAACAACTCTAAAAACATCATTTGGAAAACCTCATGGCTGAATCACTCCCAAATGCAGATCCGATAGCCTAGGGACATGGGTGTTCTCTTCTTATTGTAGCTTCCTCTCAATGTTGAAACAACCCAATCTCAACTGTGGACATGGCCAATTAACACAGTACATGTGTCTCTCCTCTCTCTAACTCCTGACACATGCTCTCCAAAAGGGCTTTTTCAACCAAAAGTGGGATGTTTTGTTATAATGTGTACAGGACAGTCAGTTTTGAAAGATGCTTTGAAACAAGAATAAGCCATACCATGCCTCATGTGGGAGGTGAACACTTGCAAATCTGGGTGTGTCAGGCTCAGAATCATCACTAATACATACAGAGCAATATTATAACCAGCTGGAATATATTCTATAAAAAGCGAAATGCAGCATTTGGGGGGGGTGCTTACTAAGGTGCTTCTTAATTCATGTTTTTTTAATGGAATGTATCAGACAAACATCTACAAACAAACATGAGTATACAGGCGTACACAGGCACATGGGCAAGTTTCTGTACAGCTTATGTCTTAGATACTTATGTGTATACATAAGAACCACACAGGGAAAAGTGATTTCCCCTTCCAGCTCCCTGAATCGCTGAACGTTATCTAACTTATAAAATGTTAAAATATTTCATTTTCATATAAAATATATACAAAAATAGATAACATTTACAAAAACCAGATAGTATTTCCAGTTTTCCTTAATAACCCATTCTCTCAGTTCTCTCTCTTTTTTTTTCCTCTCAAAATGTTGCCATCTCCAGCAAGGAGCGTTTGAACAGCTGGGCATTTCTGGACAGGTCTGTTACTTGATGCACCATCTCCTGCAGGGCAGTGGTGCTGGGGTAATGGAGAGCGGCCATCTTGGTTGCCATGACTATAGTCTTGAGCTGCTCACAGAGCTGGTTGCTGGAGTTCATGACTTTGTTGCGAATGTCCTGAGCAGTCACTTGCCTTGTCAGCGTGTCTCCAATGAACACCAGTTTGTGTGCACTGAGGATGACGAACTTGCTGTGGGCCACGAAGATCCGAGGGGGCTGGGCTGAGCTGACACAACTGAAGAGGGCGTCGATGGCATTGAGGAGAGATATAAAATGGGTCTCACACTGGTCATAGTAGAAGCAAAGCAACTGCCGGTCCTGAGCACCCACACTGCTGTTTGTGGTCGGGAGGCTCTGTGAGGGCTTCCACTTGGAGATGTCATTCTCCACGGGCTTGGTGATTTCTTGTTCCAACAGCTGGAACTGACTCAGCTGAAAGGAAGAGAAAAGTAGAGTTCACTGAAGGCAAGGCAGTGTGCTAGAATGGAAATGAACGTGGACATGCCTTTTAACAGGTACCAGGCTTCAGTCCTAAAAAGTGTCAGATGTTTATTAAGCTGTGAGGCCTTGGTCAAGTTGCCTTGCTTCCTACACTGTGGATATTGGGAAAGATGATCTTAAAGGAATCCATCGTCTCATACCTATGATCACACCACTTGTCTCTTCTGCCTTCTGTGTAGACAATAGTATAGGGTTTGAACCCCAACCTTGTGATGTGTACTTTTACGAAGGTTAAATAAGTTGATATTCACAAAGTGCATAGACGAGTGTTTGGTATATGGTAGGCTCTCTGTAAATGTCTATTAAATGCTGAGTGGTGGCAAGGGAAAACCATATGTAGTAACTTTTTGACAAATAAATCACACAGTTTGCTACTACTTGGGGAAAGCCTTGGCTCTCTCTTCAAGATGCTTAAACGAAATGGCAATCCATGACCTTTTTCTATTCCCCTGAGAAATGCACAGCCAGCTTTACTGTTCTGTGGAAAATGCTTGCGTCTCAGGAATCACTATGGTCTTCGCAAGTTCCCTAAATTCCCACTGTCTTACTTGGCCAAATGTCAGTGCAAACATAAGCAAACACAGGGTGATGGTCTGAGGTATTTAATAACAGTGAATTTTGTTTCATATAGCTCATGCCTTTGCAAATGTGTTCACATTATATCCTCTCATTAAGTGGGGGGGTACTTTCCCATCTTCTAGAGAAGTGACTGAGGCTCAGAGAGGTTCCATGACTTGCCTAACTTTACATACTTGGCTGGTCAGAAAGCAAGGTTTAGAACTCAGGCTTCCTAGAGACAGCATGCCACTTCATGTCACCTTAAAAGGCTTTCAAATCTTTAATCCATTTCTCTTTATTTTTATGTCTTTGTCCTAGCAATACCCACTATTATCTGCCATATTCATACTTAACCTCTGAATGAACACACTCTGCCCAGGGGCCTTGGTTAATGGGCTTGGATATATTTTGAAAACATTGTGTTTTATTCTCCCTCCTTCCCTCAGACTGGACCACACACAGCCAAGCGATAGGCTTGTGTTGCTGGCAAAAGACAGACAGGTAGAGGGATGAGAATCAGACTCTCATTGGAATTTGAACCACAGAAGGGAGTTGACCATTAGCTGACATGAAATGCCATCATAGAAAAGGCTTTGGAGCTGGCACATTAGTTCTTTAATCAGCACTTGGGAGGCTGAGGGAGGAGGTACCAAAGTTAAAAGCCAGCCTGGGATACAAAACAAACAAAATATCTCCTATAGAAAGGGCTTTAGCCATTTATGGGTTCTATACAGTTAGAGGAGAACCAAATGAGCAGGTGACCAGAGAAACATCAGAAAATAGGAAAGAAAATAGAAGCAAAGAAAGTACAAAAGGACAGAAAATGTGCAGTACTAGTTTCCACCACATCTTCATTATTCTGTTCTTAAATTTTCTTACAATGACCTCAATGTAAGACCAATTTGCTTTGGTGAGCTTGACTGGGTCTTGTGTCTTCAGACCAAAAGCTTAACCCAAATACCACTAATATGTTATATATTAACAGGCTTAGCCTGAAAAAAATTGTCATTTGGATGTAATCCAGGTACACTCAGCTGTATTAGCAAGGCCATAAACATTCTCTTTGTTCTTATACTCTATTCTATGCCTGGGAGCTTATTTATGCCAGTGTGCTGGCAAGATCGAAATCATGCTCTTTTGAAGTTATAATTTTCCTACTAAGCAGGAGCCCTTTTCACCACCAAAGAGTTTTTATTCTAATTGAACTTACCTGGTGGTGTTCCAGCTGCATCTTGTTCTGTTTGATGATATTCTCTTTTTCCAGCAGCTCCTTCTGTTGCCTCTCAAACTCCTCCTTACCCTATTGTTTTCCAACACAAAGAGCACATTACCTCATCACCAAGAGTCACTGATGGTGACCATTTCATTGACAAATACATACATACTCATTTTCTCCCACCCAGGGCCTCTTCCTGCATGTCCACTTAGGCCTAAGAACCCCAGACAGGGACAACAGGCTTCTTTCTCTGTCACACTTCAGAATTTTCATGGAGACTGAGGATGAAAACTGAGGGCTATTTTCATGGGGAAGCTCTACTTTGCCATTTTTCAGAGAGCTTCCTACAACCCCCTTTAAACTTCCTTAAGAAGCATTATTTCTCATGGTTCTTTTCTAAGAGATTATTATTTTTTTTTTCTAATAGATTATATGTGAACCAGAAGCCTCCAAACTCAGGTCTAAGTGTGGTTCACATTCACTTCTAGTTTCTTTGAGTCACCTATATCTCTCTACTCCAAAGTACTATTTCCTAATGTGCACAGCTGGACAGCCAGTGAGGCAAGCGTCAATGCCTCCATCTACCCTCCCCCTTCAAACTTCCTCAGCACCAGTTATGGCTTAGTGGGCTCTCTTGCACTAAAGGGGCATTTGGTAGTTTATTAGTTTTCAGTAAAAGTCATGGCTTTCAGTCAAATGAAAAAACTGGCAGAATAAAAGATAGTAAGCCAAATTCTAAATAATGGGTTTTGGTAGAACATTTTAATTCTTCCAAGTGCAATGACAAGCTGTCAAGATCCCAGGTCAACCTGAAAATTGGTAGAATTCCACTTGTAGGAGGCAGATTGTGATTGCACAATCATATGCAAGGTAAGCTCTAGTCCAGTTGGTAAATGCCCTCTGGTCCTGTAAGTAGGTCTGAGATGGGATTTGGTGTCTCTGTAAGTAATTAAACACATACACACAGAGACACACATACACACACACACATACTGTAAACCTAGGCTGTGCCTTAGAAATTCTCTAGGAGTAGAAGCTTTCAGTTTTATTTTAATAGTGAAATTTTTCTTTTCACTTTTTTTAAACTATAAACTATTATATGAAACTGTATTATAAAATGTAAGTAAAAGTTGAGTTGGGATGGATTATCAGAGGACACACCATTCTTTGGTGAGGCTCCTGCTTGCCCGCAGCATATCAATAGGATCTACTCCAACCCTGCAGCTCATTCATTTTGCAAATGAAATGAAGGCCGGGAAGGTTGAATAAATTGGTCACACAATTACTTTGGAAAAGTCTACAGCCAAGGTCTCAGGACTCTTGGCCCAGCGTTCTTCCACCTGTACACTATCACTTCTAGGTTTTACACCAGTTGGATTAGCATTAGTCATGCTATCTCCTTTGGTAGTCCAGCCTGACAACCTGACAGGCATTAGTGCCAGGCTCCCTGAATGTGAGTTCAGGTGGTCCATGAGCTTAGTTTCCTTACCTGTAGGTGGACATAATCATAATCATCCATCCAGCTCCTTTCAGAGCCATCGCTGCTACTGCAGTCTGGAGGCTGGTCTTTACCCAGCATAGGGAGCAATGGCTTGCTGTGGGCCTGCATCTTATAGTCACCAGGCCTCAGCAGCTGCATCTGGGAGCTGGTGTGTGTGTACTCGGTTGAGTTCATGATACTCTCGGGTCCACTCTTTAGATGCAAACTACCAGGGTCTGGTCTGAAGAGGGCCTCTGCATTGGTGTTGATGGTGGTGGTTAGTTGCTTGGCGTCATCGGGCACTGTCTTGGCCACCATCACAAACCGGTCCAGATCATCACATTTGTTTTGGGGCTTGTTAATGGCCAGAATATTCAGGGACCAGCTGCATTCATTTAAGTCATGGCTGGTTTGACTTAGAATCTGGTGGGAGTCTTCCACTCTCTGGAGCTCCCGCTTCATTTTGTTGTGGAGGATAAGTTCTGGGAGGCAGGAGGCATTGGCTACAGCTCCCTTGGCAAAATGGAGGTACTCCCTCAGAAACAGCTCCACTTTATCCACCGCCGTGCGGATCTCATTGATGTGTCTTTCCATGTATCCATAACACCGCCAGTCTGTGGTGACCAGTGCCATTAGGCTACAGACACCCATGTCCAAGGCCTGCTGGAGCCGATGAAGCCTCTCAATGGCTGTGTCTGGATCCAGTAAGAGTCTTTTGTCCTGAGCTGGGGAGGCTGACAGTGAGGACTCCTTTGAAGAGGTGGAAGACGTGGACATGTTACTCCTGGTACTGCCTGTGCTGGAGAAAGACAGTCGATTGATTCCATCTACCATATCCCGAGAGTCTTTAGCATCTGCTGGGTTATGCAGAGGGACATCATAAACACCATCTCTTTCTTGAGGGTTTGATTTCTCACTGGTTTCTGCTGGTGGCTCCAGAAACTGGACTCCTCGGGGGACATCATAAGCATCATTCTGAGTGCCTGAGGACTGTCCCAGCTTCAGGGGCAAATGGTGTGGGGAAAGGGTCTGGGGCCTTCGTGCCACGGGTTCAGGGGCAAATGTAGTATCACAGTTGCATTTGATGTGAAGGTCCTTCCCTGCTGGCTTGGTGCTGGCTGGGGGGATGTCATAAACCCCCTCAGGTCTGATATCTGGCCTTCCAGCTTGTTTCATTGGAGGGGGAAAATCGTATTCCTTTTCCTTAGGCCCTGCTTCATCTTGGCAGGCAGATGGTGGAATGGCATAGACCTGAGAAGTACATAAAGGGCAGAACTCTGTTGGCTCATGGCAGCAGCTTTCTGAGTATCCTTCCTGGACTGGCCTATGCTGAGAGGCAGGTGACACATTAGCACACTGGCTGAGGGCCAGGAAACCTGTGGTATCTCCCTGCTCTCCCTGATCATCACTCCACTGTGGAAAGTTGCCTGAGTCATCTGCCTTACGGTGACTGGTTGACATCCCCTCAACCAGCACCATAGTTCCCTAATGTATATAGTAAGGGAAACTGTACTTGCAGTGCAAGCATATCCCAGAGGGCAACAGCGAATCAAAGGAGCTGCCTCTTATGTATGGACTGAGTAAGCTGGAAAACCCTGTATAAATATGAGATATATTAGATCTTGCCAAACAAATTATCTTCCCTTCCAATTAGTTCTCCTTGTTGAATTTCCAAATTTTTAGAGGAGACTTTAAATTTGGAATCTCTAGAGGTATTTATCTTTAATTATTGCCCGCTTTCCCTCCCTCCCTCCCTCCCTTCCTTCCTCTAAGACTAGTTTCCCCACTATGGAATTTGCCTTCTTGCTTTATCCCAATTAACTCTCTCTCTCTCACACACACACGTACACACATGCACACCCTTTGGCCATGCACTTACTCCTTTAGTGGGGGGTATGTCATATACCCCTTGAGGTTTTATCTCTCCCACTGGAATGGAAAACACAGGACCTTTCACTGATGAGGGAGGGATGTCATAGACCTGGAGAGAAACACCTGAATTACCCAGAATGGAAATATTTTATGTAGGTCATGTTTTATGCTATGCTTTTATTATGGATTTCTCTACCAGGTTATGTGCAGACTTGATCTTTGGCAGTACTCCATATCTTAAGGGGGCTGATGGAATTTTTCTTTATAAATTTTGTATTCCTTAATTTAGATTGAATACAAAAATGCTCTTAAGTGAAATATCTACTCTGTATTTTAGATTGTAATTTAAAATGTATACTTCTTGAAACAAAATGATAAACTGATATAACAACAAGAGTTTTCTCAGGTAAAAGTCTGGGATTTCCTGAGAAGGCAAATCCAAAAAACATAATTTAAATAGCATTCATTGGCTAACCTGAACGAAGTTTCATATGAAATATGCACAATTTGTGAGCTGCTTTTCCTCTACAGTCTTGAAGGAATGCTACACCAGGAGCCCCTCTCTCCTGGTGGCCATATTTCCAGTACGTACCCCTTGAGTGGTATGTGAAGGGGGGATATCATAGACGTCCTTTTGGCATCTGGATGGGTACTCGTACACATAGCCATGGCCTGTTCGCACCGGGGTTATCACCTGTGGGCAAAAACAAACTGAGGTGTAAAAATGCCAATCCTTCAGTGAGTCTTATAGCTTCCTAAGCAGATGGGCATCTTTCTCTCTCCCCCATGAAAAGGAAGGAAGGGAGGGAGGGAGGGAAAAAAGGAAGAAGAGAGAAAAGGAAGGGGACAGGAAGATACCAGGTTAGTGAAATTTTAAATCTCTCCTGGATCCCAGTATGAAGCAAGTCCCTGATCCCTCTATGATCTTTTCTCATAACAAAATCATCTCAAAGTTTATCGGATAGAGAGTCTCAATTCCCCAAACATGCTTTAAGGGAGACTTGTGCTTAAATTATGAAAGTCCTAGATGAGTCCTTTGAAGCAGCCAAAGGCACAGCATACTGACATTTTTTTAAGGTTCTGAAACTTTTGTAAAGTACATAATACAAATAGTTTGGGTACTTAAAATTCCTCTCATGCCTTCCCCAGTGTGCCTCTTCATCTGATATTATTATTTGTGATTATAATTGAAATTCCATGGGTCACTAAAATACTTTCAGAAAGCCAATGCTGAACAATGCTGACCTCATAAGTTTCTGGGAGCTCTCAGTTGAACTTATGAAACAAATGAAATACAGTTGCCCCTCAGTATCTTAGGGTATTGGTTCCAAGATCCCTTGCAAATACCAAACTCCATAAATCCTCAAGTCCCTTACAGAAAATGGAGTAGCATTTGCGTATAACCTACATACATTATTTGATATATGTCAAATCATCTTTAGATTACAATGTAAATGCTATGCCAATGGATGTTACAGAGTATTGTCTGGGGAATGATGACAAGAAAGAAAAAGCCTGACCATGGTCAGAACAGATGCAGTTTTTCCTAAATGTGTTTGATCTGTAGTTGGTTGAATCCTCAACTGTAGCTGTGCAGAAAGCCACCAGGAGCAGAGTTCAGGTCTCCTGACCTCTGATCTCAAATCATTTTCTCATTTCCATCAGGGAACCAAACATCCCTGACAGGTCCTGCATCCCAGGGATGTCAGAAGTCAAGTGTACTCACCACAACCCTGACACCTGGAACCAATGCCAGTGAAATGAATCTGATTTGGCGGGCTCCTAGGTTCATATCTATATGCTGCCCTGGTGTTCTATGCATGAGGAGAGACACTATTAGAACTTATTTCATTTTGAAATATATTTTATCTTCCCAGGGCTTCTAAATTGCCAAGGTCTCATTTTTTCCTATCATCCCCCCCAAAATCATCTACAGTGTTCCCTTCAAGCACTGTCGACAATGTCTCTGAGAACACACAGTAGAAATTAGGAAGAGTTGATTGCTCCCTGAGAAGCCTCATCTTTATCCTTCTCTGATGTGGAGAATGGCGACAGACGGCCTCCAGAACTATAAGAAAAATGCTCCATGTGCATCTTCTGCTGAAATGAGTGGAACACAGCCAAAGGTGCTAATGCCCCTCTCCCTAGGGGTTCCAAAACGCTTGAGTTCAATTTTATTTAAAAATCTCTGGTGCTTACAACTGATTATTTCTTGCAATGAAGGTAAAAGAGATTAGTATGCAGTCAGCACCAACACCAAGTCCCTCCTCTGTCTGGGGTTTTAGAAAGGAACCTATTGCTTTAAGGTTTCTTGGGACAGAGCATCAGAACCATTTGATAGAGTGACCACTGTATTGTGCACAGCAAATCGTCCTTTTTTTAAGCAGGCATCCTTTGTTAAAGCAAAACACCCTGTGTTCCCAGTGCCTGTGTGGACTTTTTTTCTTTTGCACTTGCTCTTGTCCAGGAGAGAAATGAAGAACTTCTTGTAGTCTATCTCATCAGTGCCTCGATTTATAGCTCTTTATTTTGGCTTTATAAGAGAACCTGCTCATAATGCAGCTTTTGTTCTGTCTAAAAGTTCCTAAGAGTGGATTCTATGCAATGCTGCCAATTTAGGAATAATGCTAGTGGAGGACCAAAGCCCGTTATGCTGAAGTCCAGTGTAACTGGGGCCGGGAGGTAGCAAGAGTGATGCTGTTGTCTGAAAATGGGACTAGGGGACAAATAAAGAAGGCATGATCCTCAGAAAGGGTCACAGACAAAGCTATTCCTTGCCTTTCTGGTCCATCCCTGGCAGAGGGCATTCATGCTTCTCAGTATTTAACATTTCACTTCCTGACAAATGTCACAGAACCCCAACTTGCTCTCTCTTTCTCATTTAGAGGATTCCTGTGGTCATCTGGTTTTTAAAAACTTTGCATTCCAAACCAGTCATTTTCCCTGTTTATTCAGTTAAAGAAACAGATGGTGAAAACCACAGAGGGGAAAAAGCCAACAAAACACAAGCTCCCCCAGTTCCAGCATTCCTGATGGTACAATCTAATTCACATGGGTCCATAAATGACATTTAAGTGGGACCAGCATTTTGCATCTGTTTGGACACATCCAGGACACTTAGTGATCCATGCTGTTATCTCAGAATGTTTGGGTGCTGGAAGTCTCCTTTTGGACACTGTCCACCTAGACCTATGGCTTGGATCACTTTCACGTTCTCTTCTCAGAGGAAAGTGCTGACCGAGTTGTCCCTAGTCTCCAGTTCTGTGGTTCATTAAGGCTCTACTCTTTCCTCCTGCTTGACAGGAACACACAAAAACCTTTCTAACTCTTTCTCCTCACCCTAGGTCTTAGACCCACTGATCTCAGCCCAATAGGCACAACAAGATCTGGCTAAGGGGACCTCAAGGATAGAAGAGTTCTTCTGGACGTTTGTTTGATGAGGCATTAAGGGAATTGCTATGGAAAGGGCATTTTTAAACTAATTTTCTCAATGAAATCAAGTCAGGTTTTTCATTTCCTTTTTCTATCCATTTGTTTTTCTTTTCTGCATTCTTTTCATTCTACGTATTTATTTATAGTTACAAGGGCTTAGCCTCAGGAATTACCAAACTGACCTCTTAATTCATTAGTGTTACCCAAGGGGCTAAATTGGGAGATCTGCTGGGGCCCTAAGGCCAAATGCTACTGCAAGTGCTCTCCTGCTTGCCCTGCAGAGGATTTGCACTTTTAGACGTGGATTTTCTGTCCCTGCTCCATGAGGAATCCAAGTTTACTCAGATATTAGTAATTAGTCTGCCATTCTTGTCAACTAACAAGAAAGTTCCAATGCTGAGATTTTGAGAAGAGCTACAAAGCAGAGAAGAAGGGCAGATTCTGAGTTCTCTTGCATTCATTCATTTATTCAATTTATTTGCTTTCCTCTTTAACTTTTTTACTAACTCATATGAACTACACATACTGATGGGGTTCATTCAGTGTGGTATTCCCATACATGCCCAGGGTGTGCACTGGCTAAGCATTTAGAAAAGTAAGAGTCCATTGAATAAATCTTCCAAGGCTGGGTCCTGGCAGCATAGGCTTAAAAGACCAAATACTGGGGGTATGTTAGTTTTCTAACAAATCTGTTCACATAAGAAGCAGAAAGCAACCCTACTGTGCCCTACATCACACTGATGGTGATCTGAGGCTCCCTGGCCATGTGGGCTGTTTTTGGAGGTGTTTCTGATACACTTGGTCCTTCGTATGTTTAGGTCCTGAACTCATGGATTCAACCAACCTTAGATGGAAAATATATGAAAAAAATTACATCTGTACTAAACATGTGTAGGCTTGTTTTCCTTGTCATTATTCCCCCAAATAATGCAGTCTAACAACTATTTAGCTAGCATTTACATAACATCAGGTATTATAAGTTATTTAGAGTGACTTAAAGTCTACGGGAGAATGTGTGTAGCAAACACTATGTCCTTTTACAGAAGGAACCTGAGCATCCATGGATTTTGGTATCCTTGGGGTCCTGGAACCAATCTCCCAAGACTTCAGAGGATGATTACTTTCATGATCTAAAATTTTGAGTACTGTGCACACTGAAATTTAAAGAAGAGAGTCTGTAGATAGCAACAAGGCTGGGGTGGACTGAAAACCAACACCTGGGAGAGTCAGGGGGTTGGAAGAGAGGCCCTTGGGGCTCTTCATGGATGTTTCCAGGTTGAGTTTGCCTGGACTTGTACTTGCAGCAGATGCTTGTGAGGACAAGCTAATGAGGTGTGCATGTGTGGGGGAGAAACAGCCAAGCTTTCATACTGAGGAGACAACTTGCATCCCACTGAGAAGGTAGCCATGCCTCTGCTTCAGACATCTGCTATCCAAAAGAAATGCTCCCTGTGTTGTCAGATCTTTCAAATTGTCAGGGGAAACCAGAAATCTGGATTTTTATGTGAAATCTCCTGGTTTTCAAAAATTGGCTCAAAATTTTAAAAGTGTCTTGGCCAAATTAAACACATCTCTAGCCTCCAGGTTGCCAGTCTTCACCTCGACCTTCACCTGTGTGTTTTTTTCCCTCCTTCTTTAGGACCTTGACTGCTGTAAGGGCTGGGGCCCCAAGCTCTTCCCAATTCCATCCCTGGCAAGACTGAACTACTCTGTTTGTCTTAATGTCCTGCATGATCTCCCTCACCTCTGCACCTTCATTTATGCTGAATCTTTGTCTACGATGCTCTTCGTTCTTTTTTCATATTCAGAGTTTACTCCATTTTCAAGGCCAATGTCTCTCCCAAGAAACCTCTCCCAGACAGATGAATGATCTCCTTCCTTGTAATTTCCTGAGGATGCTATCCACACATCTCTAATGATGCTCAACACTTGTGATTTGTCTTGTTGCAGTGTATCTCGTCTCTTCTCTTAGCATTGCAGAATCAGAGACCATTTCTTATTCATTAGTCACAAATAGCAGGGCTTACCACTGGGCCTTGAATATAGTAGGTCTTAAGCAAGAGGGTGTGGACCTAGAGAGGATACTAAACAATTTCTGCCTATGTAGAATAAACTGAGTTTCCAAATAGGTAAGCTCTGAGTTGAGTGGGATTCATGGGACATGATGCAGAATTCTGTCTTATCAGACATAAGAAGTGACATAGGTAAGTGAGGGAACCCAGAAAGCAGAGTGAATGTTAGATATGGATGAGAGAGCAGAGA